CCCCTTTTTGCCGCCCATTCCCTTTCCTTTGACGCCCACCTTCCATTTCCGGACCGTTTCCTTTCCTAGCTCATCCCAGTTTGGACACTGTAGATACGTTCCCACAGCCGCATGCTACGTTCCCGTGATCGCCATGCCCTTGCCTTTTCTTTCTCGCCCTTTGTTCCCCCTTTGTCATCTTCACTGCCTCGCTCTCGCGCCTTGTCCTTGGTTGCTAAGCAGCCCCTCTAGTATATAAGGACCCCCCTAGGCGCTCCCTAGTCCCCATCTCGACCTCTTGGTCATTGGGACTAGGTGAGTGACCATAGCGTTGTATCTCTCTTCGATTGCTAATGTATAACTTGGTCATTGGGACTAGTCTGTCGCTGCTTGCGTGAAGACTAGCTTTCGTCGGTCTCGTGCCTTCGTGCCGACCGCCGCTCTGCCCCGTCGAGTTTTCTGATACGTTTATCCCTCTCTCCCTCGCTTTTCCCCCTTTCGGCTCCTCGCCGCTCGCCTACGGGGTCGTCGCCGAACGTCGACCCGAGTCTACGCGCCTAGTCGCCGCGACATCTTCGATTGGTGAAATTACGCAGGTTCTCATCCGGTCAGACACCTGTGCCGGGTACTTGAAAACCAATTAGTGTCCAGCAGGTTGGAACCTGCGTGAACCTTGCATTGGTCATATAATGTTCACAACCCATTTTTCATAACGATACCGGGTAAAGTTTACTCGATTCTGTTGAAAACTACCGCCTAAACGTGTTGATATCACCAGTTTTATGGTGGGATTTCCGAGTGAAAACCCCCCTGCGCTTACTCTACAGTGAGACTAGAAATGGTGGTCAGCATTTCGCCGCTCGCCATTCGCGTTGTCACGATAAAATAATTTCATAGCTTCTTCGCCGTTCATTCCCCAGGGGACTAGAGACGTGTTGGAATCTAAGGCGCCGTAAGCTAGGAGCAATCGCTATGATATGCTACTACTATCTAGCGTTAGAAAAAATCTATACGTATCAATCATCACTCCACGGCATACATTATACACCATTCCCTACAACCACTCACCGTCGCGACCAAGTGTACAATTTCCGTACTACAATCGGCCCACCACAAGCACGGAGGGTCATATATTCAGGAGCCTGCCAAACATCACTTATACAAGACGATGAGAGAAGCAGCGCACATAGCGAGAGAGTTCAGACAGTAGGGATATGGACCGTCCCTTGGAAAAAAGGAGTATAGGCGCCCACAGATCGGAGCGTTGTTCCCACGCTCGCACTGCACGGACCACCGTAGTACAACAGCTGATGACTACCCTGCTTTTCGTCTTTCCAATGTCGCTGGAGTCTGCGTTGTTCTCGTGCTACTTCTGAGAAGGTCATTGCTAGGTGCTGGCGCCTTTTTCAGTCAATTGGATTGGAGGCGCCGCTCAGTAACCCCACGAGTCCCCGCTGGACTGCTGCTTTTCGGGATCGTCATGGTAGATCACTATGCACCTGAGCGACATCGACTCCGCGCATTCAGATCCTTGGTACTGATAATTTTTTTTAGGACTGATGCCCTCTGCGAAGGTCTTCTAGCGCGTAGCTACCTGGACAGGCACAGCCTATGCCCTCCACGCGCTGAACAGCGTGTCGAAGAAGCACTCATATAAGGTTCAAACGCCCGAGTACCCACACTGCCTACAAATCTAGTATAATAGCCCCTTCCTGCGTCTACTAGTCTTGTCCATTATGCCACCCCCACAACAAAACCCTTGGAATATCTACGCCGAGCAGCTGTTCCCCATGGGCTTCGGCTACCCGCTCTGGATCCCGGAGCCGAGCAGAGACCGTGGACGACAGGTCTACATTGGAGATGTGGGATGGATCAAGCAAGGCGAGTTCCGTGCTCTCTTCAACTGCATGAAGCCAGAGGACGATCCCGTCAATGAGGAGAAGGGCGTCCCCTTGGATTTTCAGTTGTTCAATCCCAAGAACGTCTCTATCGGACGATGTGAGAGGATCGGTCAGAAGGTCGTCGCCAGCTCCAGTATACGTACGATCGAGGCTCAAGGAGATGTGGGTGCTAACGCGTGAGTGTTATCACCCTCGATGCTGCACTTCTCCCATCTGACGTCTTGGATCCTAGTGGCGGGCTACCCGCAGTTGCGGGAGCTGGTTTCTCTTTCAAATCTACCTCTGATTCCGGGGCATTCGTCATGCTCGCGCCTCCGGGTATCGCCGAGGATATCGAGTCCAAGCGACACATCGTCAACCACATGCGGGAGAATTTCACTCGCTGGCTCGAATTTGCGAACGCTTCCAGCAGCTGGGGCCTTGATCTTAATGAACAACAGATGCTCTTTGTCTGCGGCACCCTCAAGACGACGCATTGGGCAGTCGCAGCATTCCAAGGGAACGTGTTTCGTAGTAAGGAGGGATACGTTTCGGGCGATTTCGGTCCCACCGCGAGCGCAGGCTTCTCCGTGAAGATATCGAACGAATTCCTACCTGCGAACTTCTATCGCACTGGCCCCCCGCGGCGGGACAGCTGGGCAGATTTGTCGCGTCAAGCGTCGTATCCCGGCTATCCGAGCCCTAGCGACGCCGCCATTCAAGGCCCGAGCCAGTGCTTGTTCATCCACTATTACAAGATGAAGCGTCGATTCTGGCTTCGGCAGCAACCGATGCAGGCTACGGCCGGTCCTCATCAACTGCCTCCTGGGCCAGACAACTCGGGATTGGGCGCGCCGATGGTCGGCGCCCGTGGTTCCTCCCCATATGACTTTGAACCTGATGGAGTGCAAGAAGAGGTATGTGTCAGTGTGCTCCACGCATGCGCCGCGCTCATCGACAATGTTAAGACTTACGATCCTGTGGACCACCTTCTGACGTACATCCTAGAGGTACGAATTTGCTTCAGTTCGCCCTGCGATCCGGCACTAACGACTCGAGACAGAATTCTGAAGCCGCTATGGCAGTTGCATCAGATCTGGATTTGATTGCGCTCTTCATGGTAGGTAGGTAGTTGTGCTTCTGGGGAACTATACTGAACCATGCTCGCTTTGCTAGAATCGGAAGTTCCCTGAGGACGTCCCGGAAGCGATCGCACAGCTAGGACCAAGCATTGAAGTTGACGAGTACGGAGGTATACTGGCGCCTTCGATCGTGACGAACATGAACTGATCTCAATCTCGGATATAGTGGGGACGGTATCGGTGAACTATACATTCTTGCGGAAACGTAGGACTAGGCAGGAGGAAGATGCCGAAGATCGATTACGCGAAGAAAAGCGTGGCAGGTACTTGGGCGACGAGGTTCCTCACGATAACGATCACGTGCCCATGGAGTTCGCTGGCCCTTCTCAAGGCAAGTCCTCGCGATAGTGGATAGAAAGAAGCGCGTACTGACATTGCAATCCAGCCTACGGCCGCTGGGATCCTGCTGGATCGTCAGCCGCACCTTCCTACGGCGGAATGGGTGACCCCTCGATGTACTCTCATGGATACCAGTACCCTCAAGGAATGCAACATCCGCAAGGGATGCCACTTCAATTGGGTGTGGAATATCAGCACGGCATGCCTTACCAGCAGGACATGTACTCCCAGGGAATGAGTCCCCTAGTTGCTGTTTCCATGCTCGATACGCCACGATCACCGCAGGGCGCGTACCCTCCAGGGATACCTTTGTCAACGCCCATGGGGTATTTGCCTGCAGATCGCATTCATCCGGCCCAGAATCCTCCACTCCCACCTGCGAATCCTCCGCTACTATCGCATGGAGGGATGGCTCCTCCACCTCCACCTCCGCCTTACCCTCAGAATACCAATGACGATGAGGAGATGGGAGACGGTGGCAGTAAGGCGGAAGGCAAACGTCCGGACTTCAACGCCCCAACGAGCATACACGACGGGTCCGTCACCGCACTCGCCTACTCTGCGGACGGCAAGTACGTCGCGAGTGGATCAGAGGACACGACGATCATCATCTGGGATGCCCTTACGAACAGCGTGCGGCACAAGGTGCCCATCCCCCCCGAGATCGGCCACACGGACACGATCTCCGCGCTAGCGTTCTCACGCGATAACATCTACCTCGCATCGGCTTCGCATGACGAGGGGGTCATCATCTGGGCCGTCGCGAATGGCAGATTGCACTTGAGGATTCAGCCTGACCATGCTATCCATTCGCTCGTGTACACACCTGACGGGCGATTCCTCATCGGAGGTGCCAGCGACGGAACGCTATACCTGTGGAACGCCCAGACGTACGAGGAGGTTCGGACGCTCGACAAGAACACTGCGGTCGTAACCTTCGTCATCTTCTCGCCCGACGGCCGACTCATGGCTACTGGTGGCACCGAGAGCGTGTGCACCATCTGGGAGACGGCGAAGCTCGAGGATGGAGAGCCCTTGAACGTGCTCGAGGGACACCGCGGCATGGTCTGTGCCGCCGCGTTTTCGCCAGATAATCGCCGTATCATCACTGCGTCCGACGATGGCAGTAGTCGTATTTGGAACGCGGAGACGGGTGAGGCGCTCGTCATTCTGCACGAGCACACTGGCCCAGTCTGGACGGTCGCCTTCTCGCCCGACGGCAAGCGCATCGCGTCTGGCTCGAGTGACTCGACGGTGAAGATCTGCGACTCCTTCACTGGAGACAGACAGCTCTCACTCGACGGGCATGACAGCATGATCAATGCGGTTGAGTTCTCGCCTAATGGCAAGTTCATCGCTTCCGCCGCGTCCGACAACACGGTGCGACTCTGGAATGCCAGTGACGGGTCGAGCCACACGACGTACAATGAGCACAATGACAATGTTACGTCGGTCATGTTCTCGTCCGATGGATCGACGCTCGCATCCGGCTCGCACGATGGAACGGTGCACATCCGGCGCCTCTTGATGTAGCAATAGGGACGTCTTCAGGGCACTAGTGGCAGGATCTTTGGCCCGTATCTCATTGACTATGTTATATGATGGCATGCCAAAGGGTTGATCGATGTTGCTTGTACACGATATCCTCATTATATATATGTACGTGAAGTAGACCGAAACCAAGTGGGAATAGACGAAATGGGCTAAGGTCAGGGGCCACAGTTGCTGTATAACATGGAGCGAGAGGGAAGTGAACATAGGAGATGGGATCTAGTAATGTTTTGTCCCTCAATCCAGCTTGACGAAGTCCTTGAGCACACGAATGCGGACAGTCCCATCGTCCGAACCAGACGACAAAGTCACCCCATCGGGGGAGAATACCACGTGCGTTACCTTATCGTTGTGCTCGTTGAACGTCTTCATGTTTGTCCCGTCCTTCTTCCGCCAAAACCGTACAGTGTTGTCCGACGACGCTGATGCAATATATCGCCCATCCGGCGAGAGGGACGCTGCGTTCACCATGCTGTCGTGACCCTCCATAATGGCGACTCGTTTGCTGCTGAATGAGTCACAGATCTTCAGTGTCGAGTCGCTCGAACCGGACAGGATCTCCTTCCCGTCCTCAGTGAACGCCACAACCCACACGGGCCCGTGATGCTCATGCAGCACCACCAGCTCCTCACCCGTCTCGACCTTCCAGACACGCACGCTTCCGTCATCCGAAGCCGTCGCGATACGGTTGTCTACTGGATCGAATGCAGCGGTCCACACCATCCCGCGGTGGCCGGTCAACTCCTTGTGCAACGTGCCCGTGTCCACGTTCCACAGGCGGCAGTTGTAGTCCGCGCCACCCGAGGCGAGGTACTGGCCGTTGTGCGAGAATAGCACGAAGGTGACCATGGCGTTATGACCCTCGAGCAAGTGCAAGCACTCGTAATTCTGCGCGTCCCAGATACGGACGGTCATATCGTCCGAGCCCGACCCGAGTTTGGTGCCATCTGGAGACCAGACGACGGTGTGAACCGCCTCCGTATGGCCCCCGAGCGTCCCGAGATGCTCTCCGCCATCGACATTCCAGATCATGATCCTTCCCTCGCCGCCAGATGATGCCAGGCGCGCGCTGTCTGGGGAGAATGCGAGGTGCCAGACGATGTCGCCGTGCGACTCCCACTTCCGAACAACCGACTGTTCCTCAGTGTCCCACAGGATGATCATTGTGTCGTCGGATCCGCTCGCGACCCACTTGCTGTCAGGCGAGACAGCGAGGGCGGTGATGGATCCAGTGTGGCCGTTGGCGGCGGGCTCCCAGACAGCCATCTGGGCCTTCCTGCGCTCCGCAGCTTCAGGATCGTCCTCGTCTTCGTCCTCGGGGTCTTGTTCAAGAGGATTCTGATGATCGAAGGAGGTGGTTTCCGTCTCTGGGCCGCCTAACGTCGCTTGCAGCTCTTCAGACCCAGAGTGAGCTGTACAATGTAATGGGTGTCAGGTGGGCGAGGGTGATGGAGGGTTCATCATTCAATACCTACCACCCGCTTCGTTAATATCGCCTTCTGTCCTCGTTAATATGGCAGTCTCTGAGGCAAGTTGTTTGTCTAGCCAAGTCGTGTCGACAGAGACCGTTCCCACTATGAGACGAACATCAGCGACAGGTAAGATCATCACGGTAGAGGGGCAATCACCTCCACTCTCGTCTACCTCGACTTCGGGCTGGAGTTCCTCCAAGCCAGCATATATGTCTTCAGGTACGCCTTCTTCCTACTCGTACAAGCCTAGTGAGTTGTGGTTTATCACAAGCATTGCAGGTACTCACTCCAAAAATTGCGATGAGATCTCTGTCGGATGCAATTGCCATGTCCGCTTCCGAGTGCTGTGTATCTCACTCAATAGCATGGAGTATGACAGGTATGATAAACGTACTGCGAGGATGTAGTCGAGTAAATACGCGACTGGATTGTACGATGTGTACGTCTGAAGCGACATCAGCAGGAGGGAAGAGATAAAAGATAGTCGCTTACCGATAGTGCCTCATCGTCCGAGCCTGATTCGCCACCTATGGGTTCATTACCCTCGGGGTCAGGTCCGCCGGGTGGAAGTTGGTGTGGACCGGCCGCCCCTTGCATAACTCGGTTGAACCAGAGCCGCTTCTTCGCCGTGAAGTAGTTGAAGAAGAGACACTGATCCCTTGTCTCCTCCGTCGATGTCGTCGACGGAAGGCTCGCTTGTTGGTTCGTGAGCAGACCAACGGCTGGCGCCTTCGACTTTGGATCGGTGATCGGCCCCTTATTGTACCAGCTATATGGTAAGTTTTGCTCTTCGACCGAAACTTTGAGATCGAGGCTCGCCATATTCGGCACCTGGACTGTCACCGACGCCTGCTTGTTCTTGTGGCTCCCGGCCCACGCCGAGCTCGCCCACCTCGTCGTCTTCACTGTACCCGACACGAACCGCAGATCCTCCTGCTTGATAGTTAGGCCGCACTCCTCGCTATTGGCGTACTCGGACCAACTCTCGAAGTGAGTACGCAAATAGGTGATAATGTGTCGTCTCTGAGTGAATTTCGTCTGCATTGCGGGAGGTTCTAAAACTAGGACAGCGCCTGTGTCCTGAGAGCACGAGAAGGAGAGGCCACCTCCGGCACTCACTAGCGCAGCGGGACTATACCGTGCCGTCAGTCATGTCCAGAAGCAGTCGTAAGAAAGGCTGGAGATGCTGTACCTCGCATTTGCATCTCCCGAAACAGACACGTTTGAAATGTGCTGACTCGCGACGTATGGTTTGATGATGACGGCCTCGGGTTGAGTCTCGTGCAAATTCTTCGGGTTGAAACGCACAAAACCCTCGGGCACCCTACCCACGTTGAAAGGATCGTCTTCTGCTTTCCTAGCGTTGAAGAGATGACGAAATCTCCCTTCGTCAACCCATCCCACTGAGCCAAGCTCGACCTCCCGAGGACCATACTCTTTGTCTAACTCAGGAGATGCGTGCCAGAGTGGATACCCGTAGTGTTTGAAAAGCGTTCTAGCATAAATTTGCCAGGGGGCAGTGCGGGGGTCGGAGGGGGACATGGCGTCGATACAGGCAAGTAAGACTGTAGGTCGTCAGTAGAGCTGATTGAGGTCAATATATGGGCGGTAAGACAACGGCGATGGGCAGATTCGAGCGATAGTCGGATGTAACCTTATATCGATAGAGAAGGCGCACCGCCATTCGCACGAGACCACCATGAGAAACACGAGTTACACTGGATCGAGCATACTTGAGCAAACGGCCAGATGCAGACTTGCCGTCGTCAACCTCATATTGACACCGTCGAGGAGCGGAGGCGAAGCCAGCGATACTTTTGGTTGACCTAGGCAAAGAATCAGAGATGTTTTGTGTGAAAGAGCGTATTGAGGGCAGTCATGGGAAAGCGGCCAAATCGCAGACGCACGAGATGGCTGCAGACTGCCAAATGCCAGCGCGCCTGGATGACACACAAGCGCGCGGCAAACACCGGAGGCATTGGACTGACTCTAGGACGACGTGTCCCATCGTAGAGGCATCGTGATATGAGCCACGTTAAGACAACCATGCCTCGCCGCGTCCCACGTTTATCCCACGCCAGCCGCACACTGTACAGTGAACGAACCAGCATATAACACGGTTTTATCAAATCTCCCAAGGGGGATCGCGATGGGATGCACAACCAGGCGATTATCCTATAGTGGCTCTGATTACGATGGGGTTGCGATGGGACACGATGTGCCACAGGTCGATGTCCCCAGTGTAATACCCTGAAGATCATTGTGAGCAGGATGAGCTTCAGCCTTCCCAGTCGAATCGGAAAACTTCCGCCGAGTCTGTGCTTTCTCGGAGAACGCCGGTCCCTCACGTTATCAGATCTGAGTACAATGGAACAACTTAGCTTTGCCTCACTTTGACCGCGGCTACTGAAGATCCCGAAGCTAATGGTATCGGGCCGACTCGTTCTTCTTCTACATGACTGTTGCTTCTAGCCATGACCTCAGCACCCTGGAATCTCTACGCTAAAATGCTGTATCCTCATCAATTGGGATATCCAGTCTGGAATCCTGATACGTCAACTGGCGAGGTGTTCGTGGGAGACGTGGGTTGGATGGAAAAAGGGGGATTCAATTCGCTGTTCAACATACTGTCTTCTGAAGATGACCCAATTCACTTCGAAAGGGGCGTCCCTCCGGAGTTTGAACCATCGACCCTCATTCAAGTGACATCGCCGGATCGAGCTGTAGCTACTCATGCAGTGGACTCTGCCCCCGTCCGATTCACGGCGCAATTCAACGAAGACTTGAGAAGCCTCGGATCATGGTTTGAGATGCGGTGAGTGGGTCTTTCGGGTATACATGCACCGAGTCACGTCATATGCACATCGAAACTATCATAGGGCTTCACAGCCTGCAATTCATTTCAAGTACAAACCTCGAGAAGGCCCCGGAGCGTTTCTGATTTTCGATGTCGACGCAATGAACGAGAAGACACTCCAGAAACGGCATGTGATCAGTTATATGAGCAAGCACTTCCATGAGTGGGTCGGGTTCGCCAACACGGTAGCTGGACGGACTCGTACGTTCAAGGAGGAAGACATGATGTTAATATCCGGAACAACGAAGGTCAGACAATGGGCGCTCGGTGTTTGGACTCCGGATATGTGCGGAGAGCCGGCCGAGGGAGTACCCGACCTCCACGGGCAGTTTGATACCACTTCGACCTCAGATTCTATTGTCATGATCAATGGCAACATCCTGCCTTCTACTCACTATCACCAGGGGCCGAAACTCCGGGTAATCGACTCCGACTCTCCAGAGTCCCGATACCGCAGTCAATCTGTTTTCTTGAACTACTACCGGATTCGGCCGAGGAGACTTGAGCAAAGTGTTCCTCAATTCTTACAGGCCGCGGCGGGTCCTCATGATCTGCCGCCCGGGGGAAAGGATCCCGAAGTCGGTACGTCCCAACACGTAGAAGATGTACCACCGCTTTCGGAAGGATCGGAAGAAGAGGTGCGTGTTATTTACCTATAGCCGGAGTCGATCAAATCTGATGCAATATGAACAGACATACGACCCCGTAGCACACCTAGTCGATTACATACTCGACGTGCGTATCCGGCCTATAATATCATTGTCCTATCTCACTCATTTTTGCAGCACACGAATGCGGGCGTCGCCATTGCTTGTGACGCTGACATCATGCCCATCTTGCCGGTAAATGTCATCTTTATCCGTGGCTGGATCAAATCACAAATCAATTGCAGTAGGACTCCGGACTACCAGACAATATCCCTGAATTTCTGAACCTTATCGCACCACCGGTTCAAGTCGATCAAGACGGAGGTTCGTAGGTTAGATTGTTCACAGCACTCGTGAGGGTTTACAATTATTTTCAGTTGGGACTATCGCCTGGGACGCCGCACTCAATTCGTCGAGCGATGCGATTCTCAGTGCTCGTGCTCGCCTCCAGAAATATGTCTCCCTTCGTCACTCTCAATCTCACGATGACACGCCAATGGGTTCAATCAGGGTTGCACCTGATACATCCGAAGGACGTTGCCAGAGGGGCACCGGAACGCATCCTGCACAACCACCTCTCTCACACGATCATTTACACCTCAACCACGCATTCTACTCGAACATAGTCGCGGGTATCACTATGATCAAATGCGGTCCATGGTCGCCAATTTTATCTGGCTACGTCAATGCGCTGCGTATCATTAAATTTACCTTGCGCGCCTGGTTCGACTTGCGCTCCAGAGAAGGGAAGCGAGCACAGGAGGTGGCGAGCAAGGAAGAAGACAAAGTAAGTGTGGTCTGCGACATCTTCTCAAAAGGTAGTTGACTCAGGACGGCGAGCAGATATGTGCTTTTCACAGGAGCTTGGGAGGTTCAGGTGGAATCAAGACGGTTCTTGATCAGGGTGAGTACACCTCAACATCTCCATACAAAAAGTTGAACCCTCATAGTTATGGCATGTCGAATTTGTGCAGCTCCTGAGGTGAACGCGACGTAGCGACATTTACAAATTTGAAGTTCCTGGATAGTATGCCCGATGCTTGTCTGACGTCGACTGCTCACTGATATCACAGTGCTTTTTCCCGTACCGCATCATACATACTGATACCGATCCATCTCAACAATTTCCTTTCTTCCGAGTACTGTATGAATTGACGTCGAGTACCGTAATAGATATTTCGATATCCTGGGGAAACGGTCAACAAACGGTACCTCGGTACATACAACTAGCTGCAATCGGTCCGGCTAACGAAATAGTCAGATGGATACATGAAAATCATGGAATGCAGCGAGCGAAACAACAATGATACCGACGACGATGTCTAATTTGAGACGAGAACTCCGGTCGTCCCCATCACGTACAGTTGTGAAAACAGTGATTATCGTCCCACCCCTGGTCCGTTGGCCTTGAATTCTGGGTGACACAACTTAGTAATGCATACCATCATATGTGCCAAGCTTCACGGAGACAGCTTTCCAAGGGATTGTTGGAGGCATTTCTGTCGTGTTCGTGTTTTCTCTTGATCACAGCTACTCCTGGCTAGATCTCTCTCCCAAATTCAAGCCGATACGTCTAGCTGTTTGTAAGGCAGTTGGCGAGTACACAGACAATGTATCTCACTTGCCTGAAATTCAAGACACTGAGAGTATGGAAGTAGAGGGCAAACGGTGTAGGGTCACGGTGCTACGTCCATTTTCAAGTTGATGTGAACTGCCAGACGCCGAGACCGGATGTGCTCCGAACGCCGTTCCATCCCTCGCAAAGTAGTATAACCAAACATGGCTAGGAGTAACGAGGAAATGTACCTCTGTGTAACATGTAGAATCCCGGTATGTGAGAGGGACTCAGGGGGACAAGCAAAACAGTAGAGATGCTTCGCAACCATGTTTGTGTGATCGTGTTAATCTGACAACGTGAGAGTGAAAATTCTCATCCAATAGATAACAGGTAGCACCACGAGCCAGGCCACGAGACAGAGGTTACCAGGATGCGTTTCAGATTATATCGGTCACTGACGTTTGGGCGCAACCAAACCATAGCAGCGGTGGAGTCGCCCCATTGACAGTATCAGTATCATCATGGCCCCGACATCTCCTTGGCACATCTACGGTGAACAGCTCTTCTGGGCAGGATACGGTTATCCCTTGTGGGTTCCAGACGGAGAGGGAGGCGAGCTGTTCATTGGGGACGTCGGATGGATGCGACAAGGCGAATTCCGGCCACTCTTCAATTCGAGGGAGGATACGGACGACCCGATTCATTTCGACAAAGGAGTGCCTCAGAACTTCACTGTGCTAGATCGCCTCAAGCTAGGAGTAACAGGGAGAGAACATCCTATCAAACACCATTTTGTCTGCGGCCAGAATCTATGACAAGAGGTGTTGAAAGGTCCGAAACAGTGCGTGAATATCCGCTCTTTGGCTTCGTTACTGGTATGACACTCCAACTCAGCCGATCGCCCGTGAGATATGCTTTCGATCCAGAAGGTCCCTCAGGGGCCTGTCTTTTCCTCCCCTGTCCTCCGATAACAGAAAGCATCACGGCGGGGAGATATATCAAGTCGTACATGCGCGAAAACTTCTCTAATTGGGTCGAGTTCGCGAATGCATTGGATGGGTGGGGTCTGAGCCTTACGGACCGGGACATCCTCTTCATATCAGGAACAACCAAAACGACGCACTGGAAGGTAGCTGCGTGGTCAGAGGACATCGTGAAGTGAAAAGGAGACGACAAAGGGGTCTCCGGGACTTTCAATCCGTCCGCACCTGCAAATATCTCCGTCATTGTCGATGGCCAATTCGTACCTCCCACCCATGTCAAAACTGGACCCGCGGGAAGAGATCCAGAGTCTCAATCCCCGGCAGCGAGCCACTCGGATCAATGTGTGTTCATCAGTTACTTCAAGATGAAGCGTAAATCGGGTTCTACACCGATTGAGTATATGCGGGCGGCAGCGGGTCCACACGATCTTCCGCCGGGTCCGGGGGATCGAGGATCTGACTGTGTTCCGGCAACTAGAGGGGTCAATGAGAGCGATGACAGCAACAAAAAGGTACGTGACATAGCAGCGATTTAGACTCGTCTCAGTGACGCCGAATCAGACGTACGACCCAGTGGTGGATCTGCTGGACTACATACTCGAAGTGCGCATCGACCGCAAACTTATTAACGGGACCAGTGAAGCATACGGATGCTGAGGTAGCCATCGCTTCCAACTTAGACTTCGCCCCCCTGTTGCCGGTAAGCTGATTGTACATATATACACTCGAATTCAGTCCCTCAGCTGGCTATCACAGATGAGCCCAGTGCCTCCAGATGTCCCCAAATTCCTGAGACGAACAAGACCACCAGTCGCTGTAGATGAACACGGAGGTGAGTTCGTCTCCTGAAGTTACACGACTGTTCACGTTCTAATGTCTGACATGACAATTCATCACAGTCGGTACCATTGCGTGGGATCTGGAACCCAGTGCCTCGAGCGCAATTCTGCGCGCCCATACTCCGAGTCAACACACAGCAGACATTCCGATCTGTGGATCCGGAGACCATCCACTACGTCAAGCTGCTACCAAGCTTGAAACCATGAAGTATGACGCACCGACGAGTGCCCCTCATGTTTCGCCACGTCTTGTGCGCGATCACGACTTCCTGAGGCGTGCATTTTACAAGAACATCGCGTTCGGGGTGGCTGCAGTAAAACGTGCCCCGATGCCTCCAATCAAGCTTGGCGACGATGACGGGCTGCGCTCGCTCATCGTCGCCTTGCTTGCTCGCTCTGATTTGTGCTTCGGGGGATGGGAGCGAACCCAACAGTCGGGAAGCAAGGGAGAAGAGGGAATCACTATCACGTTCAGCATCTTCTCGACGAGCGGCCGCATCGTGACAGCGGACGGGACGGAGCAGACATGTACGCTTCGAAGGGCTTAGGGAGTTCAGGTGGATTTTGGATGGATTTGGTCTGGATTAGTGTACGTCAGTGTTGCCCGTGCATAATGCTGGTAGTCAAGACGTCTCGGGTTTGCACAGGTATTGAGGGGTAAACGACGGAGTGGGTTTGGGACGGCTGGCATTCATGAAGTTCTGAGCAGGTGATTCAGGCCGTTTAACGGGCACAGCTGACACAGTCATGCGTCGCAAGCTAGAGTGCATGTAGCGACGAAATGACGTGAGATCGAATAGGAAGACTTATTTTACGAAGAGAGTCGCATGCGACGCCGTACATGTGCCCTGTCTTCACAGCGAGCACCGACTGCGCGGTCTATGTGCGGTCCAAGTCCTGTCACGTCGTCCGCTTGATCAGTTCTGCAGAAAGGCGGGTAAGTGCGCTGGTCTTCGGATCAATGCACAAGAGACGAAAAACCCCGATGGCGAACTTGTTCAGTACGGGAACAGCATAAGCGGCATGTGTAGGGTGCTCGTCGTACTCTCTCCTAGGTGCCACGTCCCTCCAGCTCATGGTTCTTCTTCCCGACCGCGCGAGGACCACGATTGTCCGCCCGAGTTTCATGTGAAACGAGCGCTGCTCGCGAATCCGAACACACACAGGCTTCGCGGGACGGGGTTCTCAACACCGACAAAGCATTACGAAACACTCACGATCTCGACCGTCTTCCTGCGCTCTTAGCGCCTCCCTCCAAGAGGCTCGCGATCGTCTGCCCGGCCTCGGATAGCATCTTCTTGAGCGCGCTCATCCAATCCGTCCGAGAGCGCTATCGGCTCGCGTTCGGATTCTTCTGTATCATCCATTGATACCGGGATACATAAGGGAGATGCGAATGACTGTGGGAGAGGCGGAGGAGAACGAGCGGGAAGGGCCACGATGGTGAGTGCGGCGGAAATAGAGACGGAGGGAGCATGTAGCTGCAAGCGAGACGGGAGATGTCAGACAGCGCATGAAGATGAACGCGGCACTAAGGAAGAGAGCTGCGTACTATGGAAAGGGTATCCGGGGATGATAGGCAGGGGGTGGCTGAAGGGGTCTCACCTGTATCTCTGAAAAGCCGAGCTGGTCGAGCGGGGACATGCAGCGACAGGAACAGCTCATAGTCCAAGGGTGATGGACTGGGTTCTGTGCCAGTGACAGAGATACAGGAAAGCCAATTGCGCGTCAGATCCAGAGACGAGGCATTGAGACGAGAGGCACAGTGTCAAGTGGGAGGTTTCAGCAGAAAGCGATCATCGCTGGTCTTTCCGAGCCAGCATCCGGTATACGAGCGAAGGAGCAGGGCGGGGATGCGACGGACTGAGATGCGGCACAGGACTGACCATTTGACACGCCACCTGCTCTACGGGATAGTTGTGGCATGAGAGCAGTGCTGCCTGTGAAACTGCCGAGCCGCATCTAGATTGACGATGAAGGCGAGGAGGTATGTAGGTGGGTTAGGGTTCCTAAACCCCTAAGCAGCCTAGAAACGAGCTAGATCATGTTCTTGTACATTGTCAGAGTATTTGGCGGGATGGTGCTCTAGATACAGAAAACGGTCTTCCGATCGCGCTTTCTAGCAGTTGTTTATAGGCGTCGAACAAGCGTACCGCGAAATGGTTGGCCGACAAAAGTCAAACACCCATCTTCTTGAGGCAAATTTGTTGAAGATAGTAGTATTAAGTCCAAAATACACAGGTACCAAAGTAAACAGCCTGTGTCCCTCGCAGTTCTCGTACAATTTAGTCGAATATGACAGTATCGATCGAAGTTCCGCCCAGTCAACCACCGGGCCGCAGCTTGGCACTCGACCGCGCTCGTCGTCTCCAGACTTGGCCTTTATGACCTTACATGTGGTCCTGAGGCGGCTTTACCCAAACCCAGTCATCGTCCACTTTCATACGTGCATTCTTCCGCTGTAAGCGCTGCACAGTACCGACTGTAGCAAAATGAGTAGACTGTATGCGATCCTTAGTGTATCATTGCTCACCCTGTTCGAGATCCCTGACGATCGCCGTGCACACCCCCTTGCTGATCAGCAAGGTACGGATGTCATCTGGGACGGCCTGCCGGTACTATTCCATATTTCGTTCAGGATAGACAACGGATTATGGCATCTTCTCACGTACCTCAAGAAATTTGTACACGTCCGAATCGGACGCCACTGCGATATTTACTCTCTCGTCCTAGGTAGTAAAATCAGCACAGAAAGAGCATAGATAATCTGCATAGATAGCGTCACCTCAAGTATATAGTCCAGCAGGGCGTTGACGGGGTCAGCAAACTAGAATCGTGTCACCGATTCGACTTTTTGAGATTCGGATTGATGCGACGTACCGTTGGCCTTGGCACCCAGACCCAAGGTGACTCCTTGAGGACGGATGTCTGTTGCGACAGCGTGCCCTCTGAGCCGCGTTCCGAGGGGCCGTGGTTTTTGGGTCGCCTCTTGATCTTATAGTAGTTCATGAAGACGCAGTGGTGCGACACCGGAGAGGATGGATAGAAGTGGGGAATCTCAGATTGCTGGGGTTGGCCCGCAGCGAACTTGAAGACAGCGGGGTCTCCTTCCGTTTGAGGTGTCGTCATGATGGATGTGGGGACGTCGACGTTTCCACGGATGTATTGACTCTGATAGAGGTTGCGGGTAAACTGAGTTGTCCAGGTAGCACCCGTCACGAACATGATGTCTTCGTCCTTGAGCTCTGAGTCTCCGATGCTGTTCGCTAAGGCCAGCCATTTATCGATCTTCTCGTGCATGTATCGGACTATATGCCACTTATTGTTGAAGAAATACGTGGTGCTTCCTGCCGGGAGCTTGAGAATAGCACCTTGGTCTGAGCCTTGCTCTGGGATACGTCCACTGACCACACGACAGGCGACGGATGGGTGATTAGCGATGGCTATATGACAGCAGTTTATGGATGTACTCAGCTTACCGGGATGCGAATTTCACGAAGCCATTTTCGGGATTGAAGCTTTCCAACTCCCGGGGACGGTCTTTGTCCGTTCTAACGGAAACGCACGGGCCGAACCTGTCTCTGAGCTCCTTCAAAGGAGAGGGAACTTCGTTCGAGTCCGTTCCCTCCCCTGTTCCAGAGCAGAAAAGAGGCCGAAATTTGCCATCCTCGAGGAATCCCACCATGCCGACACATCTATGGGACGAGTGTTGACGGTCGCCACAATCTATGGTTGTATCCCATAAGGGATAGCCACAATGAAGCGGATACAGCATCTTGGCGTAGAAATCCCTTGGAGGTAGCTGTGGCGCTTGCATTGTCGCAGTGGCGAATGAGTTGTTCGACATATACGGAAGAGAAAATGAGCTGGGATGGTGAAAGAGTGAGGTTGAGAGATGACGTGCTGTTGGACGATGAAGACTAGGAATGTGTTCATTGGATCAACGGAGTTTATAATGATTCCAGTGGCTCTACCCTGATGAAACGCGTGCCCCGCAAGCTTGAGACGCTCTCGCCCATCATCACAAGAAAGCCCAGATGTGGACATGGTGGTACTGCTCAGAAAGGTGATACAAGCATGTAGACAAACATCGCCGCGAAGACACAGGGACGACGGCCCGATCCAGAATCGCACGGCGCGACTGGGCGGCCCGTCGGTCCGGTCCATCTTTCCGACCCGAGAGGCTTGCTCGCTTGCTATCGACCGCACTGTCGTCTCTTCCATCGCTCTAGCAAAGTCTTGTATGCGTCTGCAGCGACGACACACACCCTCTTCGCCCCAGTTCTCGCCAAATCCTTCCTGTGCGGTCTCTGTTCTGTTCTGTACTGGGGCCGGCAGAACGTCACCCCCCGGTACGCAGTGTCCTCTAACGCTCAGGCTCTACAATCCTCCTCCAACATACGGAACAAACTCTTGTCCACCTACCATCTACCGACCACCGTATCGTCAGACGAATCATCCTACGGTCCTTCCCTCGGACGTTGTGCAGACGACTCTCGTTCCTTCATCCTCCATGTCGTCATTGCCCATTCTCGTGCGCGAGGACACTGCAAGTCGAACCGGGAGATCCCCTTGCATTCCAACCGAGCTCTCTTCCGCAGATGACCCCGCGTCCCAAGTCACCTGAGTTCTTCCCACTCCCCGTCTCTTTGCTGACGCGCTTTATAAGAGCGCTCTTGGTATCCAGTCTCCCAACGACGCAAACGACGTCTCTTCGGAGATCCTTCGAACCGATACATCTCATCACTTGGTGTCCATAACTTCTCGCTCAAGGTATGTACGCTTTGCCTCATGCGCCTGCCGTCCCACCCTCCAGCCCCTTAGGTCACGGCGGCAAACATGTCAGCGTCGCACAGAGATGTGCTTGACCCCAGGACCCCGAAAGTCGGCAGCGGTGACTTCTTCTAATGGCTCAGGCTTTCTCTCTATTTCAGTTTCCAGAGTTCTGGCTCTAGTGAATTCTACAATGCCTGAAGTTATGACATGCAATCGGTAGGGAAACCATAGACTCTCTCACGCTTGACCCCCGGTGTCATCAGTCCCTCGCCCATCTCTGGCGTCGCAGACTTACCTCCGGCGCAGGGCGACTTGGAAACTCCAGCCCAAGGTCGTTACCGGGACCACGACCGCTTAGCGCGACGTATCGGCCAAATGCTCCATCGAGGGCGACAACTCGAACTCGAGGGACGAGCTCATCACCTTTCTTGGCGTCTCGAAGGACGAGGTAGCTACTCTCGCCGCAGAGGCCAGAACGAACCTGAGAAGGCTGCAGTGCAGTGGAGAAGGCGAACCTCCCCATCGAGCAGCACGGCACAGAGACCTTTTTTTCGGGCCCTGTTTGCTCGTACGCCGGAGTAGAGCATGATCGCTGCTCGCTAGGCTGACGGCCATTCGACCACATCACCGCGTCCAGCTTGTTCGGCGACAACAATTTCATCGGTGTGCCCCAGGGCCACGCCGCAGTTGACTTATCGCGCGCACTGCTCGGGCTGACAGCACTCGTGTTCCTCAATGGAATCTATTGCCACTGGCTAGTATCGCATGAATACATTGAACTTTGTTATTTACATTGTCTCTAGCAGAGAAATGGAAGAGTTATGGGTGCCTTGTCTCAGACGTCAGGCCAACCTCGAATGAGATGCTTCAGAGGGTGCATGTGCACCGCTCCGAATGTGTCTGCGGACACCAGTACTCGCCCATCCTGCGAGAACCCGAGGTACGAGGTGTCACCAACCTCCAATGAGTGGAATGCGACGGCGATTACACGCGCACCGTCGTCGGTGCGCCAAATCCTGACACCGTCTTTGCTAGCGGTCGCTATGTGGCGCCCATCCGGAGAAAAGCAAGCGGCCTGGGTCATCCCCCATGGTTGGCAGGAATGGGAAGGCGGTGAGAGCAGCTCGTGGCCGCGACCAGTGTTCATATCCCAAACCTGAGCCGGAGACGAGGAATCGCAGTTGTAGTACAAGACCAAACAGCCAAAGGGAGAAAATACAACGGTACCGGGAGGTCGGCTATAGGTATCCCTCAAGATGGTTTTCCGGACGATAAGCTTTCCTGTCCTGACGTCCCAAAGTCGGATGAGGTCGCGGGCGGTTGGGAGGAAAGAGACGGCAGCCAGGAGCTTGCTGTTCGGGCTGAATACAGCGGTGGTCATCGAGAAGGAAGCATCTTCCTCATTTTGTCTGAGAATTTTCCAAGGACATCCGCAAGATATGTCCCAAATGACTTTTTCTCGAGGAAAACCATTCTGCTCTAGAAAGAGCCATCGGCCATCAGGCGAGCAGAGCCACTCGCCATACCGTGGTAGAAGAAAGAAGGAGGCATCGCCGTTCGTCGGACGGAAGTTGTGGAGTGGAAAGCAACGTATTTCTTGAAGCGTCTCGGTGTCCCAGAGGCGCACGATACCGTCGTTCGCCACCGAAACGAGTGTGATGCCGGCCGATTGCCACGCGAACGTGGCCACTGTGCTGTCGTGCACAAGGTCTGCATGGCGCTTATCTATGTCTGTAACCTCGGCGTCCCATATCTTGATGGTTTTGCCAGCCCCGGAAGACGCGAGCCATCGACCTTTGGGAGAAAATGCAATGGAGACCGTTCCGGATTCTACACTGGCACTGTCGTCGATGATCCAATCCCGCATCGCAGAGTGATACCCCAGTTCCCACAGAATTACAGTCCTGTCCTGTGCGGCTGTCGCAATCCACTTCCCGTCCGGAGAGAATGACACGGAACAGACTTGCGCATCATGTCCCACTTCAACACCTTCTTGAATACAATCAATATCATATATCAGAAAGAAGAAGCAAGACGGACCGGGGCATATATCCGTCAGGGTCTGTGCCGTCAAGCGAGGGAATATGTCTCTGACACGCTCGCGATACCATCGAGCCCGATTTCTCTTCTGATGAGGCATGCAGAACGACACCCTCAAAAGCCGTAGCTCCGCGATCTCTTCATCCAGAGCCTGTACGCCTTCGATGCTGGTGGCAGGAGAAGAGAGTCCCAGCAAAGATCTTGGGCCGCATCCTAAGAAGTGAATGTTAACATGAAGTTGAGAAGAGTTCTCGGACGTCCTCAGAGTTGTTACGATGTTTGAAGAAGATTTTACAATGCTGTTAGAGGTGTATGGTGTCGCGTATGTGATGTTCGAGAGCTTGGGAGATCGCGCGAGATTGAACGTGCTGCCTGGATGATGATGAGCAGGGAACGCCTTTCGTTGGATCGCCTCACTAACCTTCACTCGCAGATAGAGTGAGGTCCTGCAACGTATTGCCGGTATATTCCAGAAGCCAATTGATCACATCGGAGTCAATCCCATCGACCTGTTGAATATATTCACAATGAGTCGACGTCGTCAGAATTTACACTGACGTAGTGTCCCGACCGACATACTCACCGTGAGACGTACGATAGGCGGGGGGCATTTCGCCACTGGTGGGTACCTCTTCAGCGATGCGAAGCAGGAGGTAGCGACATGAAGAGCGCGAAGCCGAGGGAAGGCCATGATAATCCGACCGAGCTCCACAGGCGACTTGAAGACGATCCCTTGGAGGCAGAGGGTCTCTATGGCCGTGACGCTGGTTCGAATAACCTTGAGCAGCGTCGGATGGAAGGCAACAAAGAGTTTAGGACGGGCCCGGGATGGCATTGAAATCGTGAGAGTGTGAAGTTTTGGTAGCTGCGACATCGTTCTGAAGTACGACGGCATAAAAACATCTACTTCTCCCCCTAGGGCGACAGCGAAGATGAACTGTTTGAGAGGAGGGTTCCGTGCAAGGAATACGCCAAAGGAGTATATTTCGTCCTGGGATTTGAGAGAAATCGACCTCAGGCGATGATATCGGCTACGTGGGAGTAGAATGCGGCAGGTAAGAGATAATGCACACAGAGACGTGAGGTCACTATGCAGTAAATCGATGATATTTTCGAGGATGTCGAAGGGGAACGCGGGGGTATGTCGAGTGATAGCCATGGTAGAAGGAAGCGAAAACTGGGAACACTGCATCCCTATGGTTCAGCAAGAAGGGTCCCTCGCTCCTGTGTCGGGCCCGCAGATATACATGCAGTACCCGCTCTGCGGACCGGCTTGAACTCCGCCCAGCCGTCGGCGAGTGCGGTTGATAGGTTGCTGGGAGAACTCATAAAGCTCCGGACAGAACCTTATACGACAGTCCAGGGACGGGGACTCCCTGCTTGATCGCATATGTTCGCAGGACTAGTTTCCAACCCTCAGAATCCGTTCGCGAACGATGTCCTGGTTGGGAACGGCGGACAAGAGGTTACCAACTTCTCTTATTGAATTGAAGCGTGACTGCACACGCACCTTTCCTTCGGATGCCATGGAGCCCCCGGGGCCGGTCTCGAATGGTCCTGTGGACGAAGGGAAGCATCATGAGGCGGCTGTGCATGTTCCCGTCAAGACGAGCACATGTCCATTGGCTGGCAGTATCCGGGAGACAGTCAACGCGATCCATCGACTGGGATGGCCCGCAGTCGCGCTCATACTGGACATCCATGACGAGCGCAGTTGTAGGTAGAGGCGTCGACGACACGCAAATTCGAGGGACATTCCACGCAATCCATAGTAATCACATTGATCGTCGCTTCTCATGTCGATCGCGACTCGAGAGAATGGGCGCGCGCCTGAATCGAGGAACGGTCGGATGCTTTGTACTGCAACCGTCGTCGAATTTACCGTTTCGAGTTATCGGTACCGCCGGAGACCGTGCTATGAATGACGTAGCCGTCGTGCTGCGCTCACATGCACCGTTTCTATGCACAGCTCCAGTCAGCGATAATAGAGTGTCAGAATAAAGTGCCGAAAGGCCCGTACCGAAACAGCATATCTCATACGATGGCAGATACACTGAAGGAAGACGTATCTCTCACAGGATCAGCAGTTCCACACTTTCTTTATTGACGGACCATCGTCGAGGCGAGCAATTAACACGGGATTACACTCACCACGAGTTACCTGGCTGTTGTGCACGAGGGAACGGAGCTGACTCTGGCCCAAAGTACCATGTGTACTGACATGGCAGTATACGAGCACCACTGATGGACTGGTGGCATGTCAACGCACCTTTCGCCGATCTTTGCTGAATGATAGTCTGCAACCCGGCAAGTAGGAGCGAGTGCACGGCAGGCGATGTCACAGCCCAGCACACATACACTCAACCTGGTTAACATGCATGATCGACTCCCGCTCACAATTCATTCGAGTCTGGGCACTCCCCACCCGCATGTCACCGACCTCGCAGGGCGGGCCAACTCACAGAAAACCGTGTTGACGACGAGGGAGACCGTGTGACGGCCGCCTGCGCCATTCGCCAGCGGTAAGAAAGATGATAGAGAGCAAGCCGACTCGCACCTATTACTAACGATACAATACAGCACTTCTCAAGTCCAAGCTCACGTATACCGGACCTGGTCCACGAAACTCAGCCCCGCGTCCGCCATCACCGTCTCCGCCATGCCCGGGCTCAGCGGGTCGAGGCACAACCAGCCCTCGGCGCGCTCGACGCGGAAGAACCGCCGCTCGCGATCGTACCGTCGGGTGCCCCAGGGCTGCGGCGGCCGCGACATCTCTTGCGCGGAGGCGGGCCCGGGGAGCTCGTCGTGCAGGATCTCGATGAACATGTAGCGGAGGAGGGGGAGCTGCTCCGCGACGCGCCGCGCGAACGCCTCCGCGCGCGACGTCTGCGCGGGGTCGCCGTGCGGCGCGTGCCCGGGCTGGCCGTCGTCGTCATCCTCCTGGTCGTCGTCGAGCGGCACGCGGTCGAAGGGGACCGACGTCCTGTCCCAGTGCAGGACGAACGTCGTGAGCGTGTTCGCGAGCGGGATGAGCATCGCCAGGATATCGCGCTGCCGTCGAACGCGAACGGGTCAGTCTCGAGCGCGCGAAGGGCCGAACGGTACTCACGGTGACGTGCTCCCACCTGCCCGGCTCCTCGACCCTCAGCACGAGCTCGCTCACGCCCGCCCAGACGGCTTCCCCGACCCCGTCGCCGCCGAAGATCGACTTGAGCCCGTCGCGGCCGGTGTCGCGTTCCTTGCCCTTCCACTTCGCGCGCCCCTTCGCAGCAGGCGGGCCCTTGGCGGCCGTCTTGTCCTTGCCCCGGACCTGCATCGTGCCCGGGGCCCACCAGCCGCGGCCGAGGCCGATCGTGACAGTCGTCGGCATGATGTCGGCGAGCAGCGTGCGCACGGCCCAGGCCTCCTCCGCGCCCTCGCTCGGGGGCGTGAGCGAGCCGACCTCGAAGCGGCGCACGGTGCAGGTGAGGCCGAGGGCGTAGAGCCCGGGGGCGAAGCCGCGCACGGAGAGGAGGGGCGGGAAGGAGCTGTAGACCTGGCTCGTGCGGTTCGTCTCGCGCGTCGCGTGGATGCACGGCATCGGGGGGCGCATGCGGCGCGGGGTCAGATAGGAGAGGGGGTTTGGGGACGCGGGGCGATCGGCGGTGCCTGGGGAGGGAGGAGTGGAGGGAGGCGTGGCGGCGTCCGCGACGGTGGTCGTTTGGGGTGGCGGCGCGCGGAGGCCGCACCCGTCGAACGGGGTGTAGACGTAGAGGTCTCTGAGGGCCGGGAACGCGTGCACGAGGGGGATGACGGTCGGGACGCCGGCGAGGCGGAGTGCGAGGGTCCTGACGGCGGGGTAGCGGATTTTGTCTGCGACGGTGACGATGATGGCGTTGCTGGAGCGCATGGTGCGGAGGGTGAGCATGCTGTTCTCGAGGAGCAAGACGGGATCCGGAAGGAGGGGGACGACGGCGAGGGCGGGGGTAGGAGGTGGAGGACCTGAAGGATTTGTGAGGGCGGGCGCGAAGTTGGGCGGTCTGTAACGTTTGGCGTAGGAGGCGCAGATGACGGAGTGTACCCAATCGTCGTCGAAATCGACTTGGGCTTCTTGGAGGGACGCCTTGAGGTCACCGAGGAGGGTGCAACCGCGGGGACCGACGCCGTGGATGGCGAGAGAGGTGAGATTGGAGAGCAAAGGGAGGACACGGGAGAGGTCGGGGTCGTGTGCGAGGAGAGCGTCGGTGTGGGTGATTCGGAGGTGGGTGAGGGTAGGAGAGCAGAGTTGGAGGATTCGGAGGAGAGGGAGAGAAGAAGAGAGTTGGGAGGGATGGAGATCGATTGTGAGTCTGCGGAGGGGCAAGGAGAGAGCGGGCCTTGGTGCACGGCAGGAGAATGGATAGCCGGGTGAGGAAGTGGTGCCGTTGTCGGGGACGCCGTCGTGGGCGTTGCACTGTTGAGGATGTTGAGACTCGTTTGAGCCATGGGAGGCGGGGTGGCAGAGTTGACGAGGGCGGTAGGCGGAAGATTTCTGGGCAAAAGCGGCAAAGGCTTGTATGGCGCGGGGAGAAGAGAGGGTGAGGGCTTGGGGATTGTCGGGGGCCATGGGGCCTAAGATGGAGGAATGAGGGGGATGAGAGAGAGCGGTGAGGAAGGCGTTGTCGCTAAGGGACTTTAGAGCGGTACAGGTGCGGGCGAGAACGGCGATGTCGCGGAGAGAGAGGGAGGAAACATAGGGGTGGGATAGGACAAAGACGAGAGCGTGGACGGCCAAGGAGGAATGTGGAGGGCATGGGGGTAGGGATTGGGCAAGAGACATTGGAGAGATGGAGACGAGCTCAAGAATGAGGCGGAGATGGACAAGGGTAGTGAGGCCGGCGCAGGAAGCGGGGGCCTGTAGCCTCTGGGACGACGAGCGGAGGACGAGGAAGGCGGAGTGCGGGCTGCGACGATGACGGCCAAGCTGGAGATTCCGAGCGCCGGTGTTTTCCGTCCGAGTCGCTGTCAACGACGGCGGCGGTTGTCAACGACGGCTGTCAACGACGGCTGTCAACGACGGCTGTCAACGACGGCTGTCAACGACGGCTGTCAACGACGGCTGTCAACGACGACGCGTCTTCTCTGTAGCTTTCTCGCTCAGAGAGACTCGCTCAGAGAGAGAGTGTGGTGATAACCATCTCGCTTATACCCAGCGAGCGCTACCGTCCTCGTCCGTCTCCCGTCCCGTTCCGAAAACAATCATAATCACCTCGCGCGCGATCCTCGACGGCTTCACGTACCCTACTCGCCCACACTATGTGCCGCAAATTCACCATCGTCAGACCTCGTGGAACTCAAGCCGGAGCGCGGTCCGGACAGCGCGCGCGGTCCTGTACAGGCGGTGGGGAAGCCTGATTTGCTCAGCCGACGCTCACTCCCCCGCCCAGGGCCGCCCAGGGCTGCCACCCCAACCTCGCCAGCTCACGAGCTCTCCCCCATCTCCTCTCTCACACTGCTCCACGACTCGCGACGGCGGCCAGTTAACAGAACACGTCCACCCTTGACCACATTCGCCTCATGTCCCGGTTACTTCACGCGTTCAAGTAAGTCCTTGCTACCCTGCACCCAATCGAGTCGCGCTCACCTGCCCCGCTCAGTGCCTCGCTCATCAAGAGGCCCATGGTCACCCAGTGCGCAACCTCCTTCGTCCTCTTCGCCACCGGCGACATCCTCGCCCAGCAGGCCTTTGAGAAAAAGGGCTCCAACCACGACGTCCGTCTCTCCCTAACCCCTTCCCCAGCCGCCTCTGACCATCCCCTCCTCCGCAGTTCGCCCGATCTGCGCGCGTCGCATTCTACGGCGGTACGTCCTCTTCGCCCCCCGCCCTCCGTTCCATGCTCACATCCCCGCCCAGGCGCCATCTTCGGCCCCATCCTCACAAAGTGGCTCCAGCTCCTCAACCGCCTCCAGTTCACGTCCCCCACAAAGGCCGTCGCCTACAAGGTCTACCTCGACCAGTTCGTCTTCACCCCCGGTCCGTTCCTTTCATCCCACGCCATCTATCCACGCTGACGCCCCGGCTCCACACACACAGGCGTCGTCGCCATGTTCTTCGGCAGCATGACCCTCCTCGAGGGCAAGACCGTCAACGACGCCAAGGTCCGCATCTCCGAGGTCCGTCCCCCGCGCGTTCTTCTCTCCTCAGCCGTGTGCTGACCCCGCGCGCGCGACCTCGTAGGCTTACGTGCCCACACTCATCCGTAATTGGTACCCGTCCCTTCTCGTTTCGCTAGCCCAGAACTCATGCTCGCTCTGCGCCGTCCAGGGGCGTCTTCATCCCCACCCAGATCGTCAACTTTGCCCTCGTGCCCACCCACCTCCGCTTCGTCACCATCGGCGTCGTCTCCCTCTTCTGGAGTCCGTCGTCTTCCGTTCTTGCTCTTGCCCCTCGCTGACAAGGTACGGGCGCCCAGATGCGTACCTGAGCTCGGTGAACGCCAAGAAGCAGGCGCAGATCTCCCCCGCCTACACTCCCGAGCACGAGAAGAAGATCGCAGAGGTTGCGTAGATCCTCGTCCGAGAATAGCACTCGCGAAGACGGCTCACGCGATGCGGGGTGCGGCGCAGGGAGCGAGGTAAAATTTGGCTTATAGCCTTGTATCCAGCGGGCGATCCGCGCTCTGCCCTGACCGGCGTACAAACTTCTGCTAGATCTAGACTCTGCTTCTTGTGCAGACATACCATGTAAGATACCATTGCGTCGTGCCCAGATAGACTTATAAATAGCAGCATAATATGGCGCGATAAACGCTCGTACTTGGAGGGGTTACGAGAGATATATTCACGGTGCAGAATACATGGACACGCCAAACGATCGTGACTACGCAGCAATCCAACTGGTTCATCAAGGGCGATCTGGGAGGGACTCGTCAGTTTATCGTGCTCGGATTTGAAACGAGGGAAGAAGAGTAACGATAATCAGAATTGCAGAAGTATGGAGTCGTCAAGTGGTCCGTGGACCATTGGACTGTTGAGCTTGAATGTGATAGGTTGTTCATCATGATAACGAGTGCGACGGAGGGATACCAAGGCGAGCAGCGGAGACTACACACCTGGACGATGGCCCATTCCCGCGAGGGCAGTGCGCGAACGCGCTGCGGATGCCGAAAACGCGCGCAGACGGCGTCAGCAGGTGCTAGAAGCACATGGCGGCCGATGGCACCCAGGCATGGCAAGGCTGTATGTTGGATAGCACGAGACGGTTCCAAGGATACCTTCGATGGACTGTCGCCAGTGGCCGTGGACGGCGTGCGCCGACCGCCGGATGCGAGCAAGGACGACAATGGGATGGCCGAAGCCGTTGTTCGTCGCGCTTTGCCAGGGTCGAGCGACGATGCCGTGAACCGCGCAGGCGACGAAGAAGATAGGAAATGTAACGTCAAAAGCGTGCGCTGAGGGAAAAGCGACATGGATGGCGCAAAGGAGGGACGCAAAAATTATGAGCGACCAAGGTGATGTATGGCTATGTTTGTTGGGAGTGGCGGAAGGGCGTTTGTCAGTCGAGGGATCCAAGTCCTGCACTTTGGCGCCCAGATATCTTTCACTCCTCATCCTCCCCCCCTCGCTCGAGTCGCTGGAAAGCTGCGGACGCGACTACCTCGTTTCTTTTTGCCCGCTGTCCGCTCGTCTATGATATGCAAAGCGATGCTGACGAGGCTGCACTAGGCTTGCTCGGGCTCACCGGTGCCTTCCCTTCGCCTTCCGCAACCACCACCACCATCCCAGCCAAACGAAAGCAGCCTCCTCCATCACCTCACTCTCCCTCCTCTCGCGACGGCCACGACTCTCAAAGCTCAGACACCATCTCCTGCATCTGTGGCTTCACCTACGACGACGGCTTCTCCATCGGCTGCGACTCCTGCGCTCGCTGGGTCCACGCCGCCTGCTTCAGCATCGTCGAGCACCAAGTCCCCGACGAGTGGTATTGCTGGGTCTGCGAGCCTCGTCCAGTTGACAGGGACCGTGCCGTCAAGCTTCAGAAAGCACGCCAGCGCCAGGCCGTCGCTCAGGCCAGCGCCAACGCCCCAACCAACTCCCGCCGACGTGCCTCCCCCGGTGTCGAACGCAAGACCCGCAAGCCCAGCGCCCTCGCCGCCGCCGATGGTCCTTCTCATGCCAACGACAAGGCCGCCCACGGCAACAAGCGCAAGCGACGTGCCTCCACCTCCGTCAACCCCCATCACCACCCGCATCCCCAGGAGGACGAGCACGTCGACATCGACGAGCCGTGGACCCATTCTTATGTCCCCATCACCAAGGACATCATACCCGGTGACGAAACTCGCGATCGACTTCGGCGCGTCGCCTCGGACTGGCGTGGGGTCTCTGCGATCAACGCCAACCCGTCGCCCTCCCCGTCCCTCCCCCATACCCCGGGCTGTACCACCCCGGCCCTCCTTACCTCCGACGACCTGCCGTACGCCTCCTCCGCCTCTCTATGCCCTCCGCAGATCTCTCTTGCTCACTTGCACGGGGCTGCCTCGGGGACGGCCTGGCCGGGTTTGGTCTCGACCGGGAACTCGGTACGTCCGCCGTCATACGCTGTTCATGCGACCCAGCCTATCCAATCCTCCAAGCTCATCGCTCCCTACCCGTCGACGATCATCCCCACGGCCATGTACCTCCGCGACCCGCTCAACGCTTACGCCCACCTAGGCATGCCCAAGCCGTACGTCCATCTCTTCGGCCCGCCCTTGGACGTCGCGCTCGATGCGAGGATCACCGGAGATCAGTCGAGGTTCGTGAGGAGTGGTTGTAGGCCGAACGCCATTCTCCGGCCCATGTTCTGCGGCCCGCAAGCGAAGAAAGCTGGCAAGGACGAACGGGAGGAGGGTGTCACGTTCGGGATCTTCGCGTTGAGAGACTTGAAGGCGAACGAGGAGATCGTACTAGGTTGGGAATGGGACGACGACAACGTCGTTCACCATCTGCCTGCCCTCATCCAGAGTCCGTTCGCATTCCCGTACGTCGCGTCCTCGTCCGTCTACACCTGTTGCGCGCTCACGCGTCGTCTTCCAGCCAACATCAATTGCAGCACTTTCGCAAGCAGATGACCTCCATGCTCCACTCTCTCGCTTCGACTTTCACCACCTGCGCCTGCGGTGCGAAGGCTCGCGACTGTGTCCTCACCCGCATCGCCGAGTTCGTTGAGAACCAGACGCCCCTCACTCCTTCGCCTTCGCCTCCATCCCAGTTCACGAAAGAGAAGGAGAAGCACGCCGGCAAGTCGCGCAAGGGTGACCGCGCAGAGGACAAGGGCAGCCCTGCTCCCGTCGACCTTGGACCTCTCATTGGCATCGAGCGTGGGTTCCGTACCCGCGAGCGCATCCCGTCCTCCGGCGGCATGGGTGGCGTCGAGCTCGTTCCTCCCTCGTCGTCTGCAGAGGCAGGCCCTTCTCGGCTTCCCGCGGACGTTTCGTCTAAATCAAGGAGAGTGTCCTTTCCCGACGATTTGCTCAATTCGCACACGAAGACCAAGAAGGGAAAGAGCAGAAAGGGGAAGGCGCGGGCTGAGGACGACGATGTGAGTGATGGCGAGAATGAGCGGGGTAAAGGTGCGATAACATCTTGCGTCTGTCAGATAAGGTTGCTGATCTTGTCCGCGCTCTTGGTCTGTGACAGGTCGTCCGCGCGCGCGCCGTCGGTCAGGCATTGAACCCGAGCCCGAGGCGATGGACGTCGACGAACCGCCCCGAGAAGAATGTTTGCCGCCAAAGCTGCGCAAGGCGTGGATCGCCGCAAAGAGCGCGGAGCGATTGCGGGAGCAGAGGCGCGGCGACGCCATGTCGTCTGCGTCGTCTACTGGAGGCGGGATGGACGACGTCAAGGACGAGTCTTACTTTGGTGCGTGATCCGTTCGTCGTGTGCGGAACATGTTTGTGCTGACGCGTCTCTGTTTCACGCCGCAGACTCTCGGGACATGCCACCGCCTCCGGTCCCGCACTTATACGCGCCGCCCGACCTTCCGAGTTCGTATTATCCTCCGCCTATTTCGGCTACGTCTTCGTCTTCGTCTTCCTCGTCCACCTCTTCGAGACAACGCGCGGCTACCGACGGCGGAACCGCGTCTCCTTCCGTGCCTTTCTCCAAGTTATCGCTGCTTTCGCCTGTCGCTCCTCTTCCGTCCGATGCTTCGCGACCCAACGCCCCGCCCACACCCTCCACCTCGAAGGCGCCCGAGAAGCCCGCGAAAGCTGACCCGAAAAATCAGGAACGGCCTTCACAACCCCCAGCGTCTGACGCTGTTCCCGCGAAGCGGACCACCAAGCCTGCGAACGCCAAGGCGGCCAAGGGTAAGGAGAAGGCGAAGGAGCCGGTCGAGGAGTCCGAGAGTGAGAAGGAGGTGAAGCCCAGGCCAAAGCCCAAATCGAAGGTCTCGAAGGAATCCGCGAAGGACAAGGATAAGGAGCAAGCTATGCGCCCGTCGACGCCCGCCACGGAGGCCGATGAGCCTGTTCTCCAGCCGTGCCTCCGCCGCGACGGCACTTCCAGTCCCAAGCCGACCAAGAGGGCTGCTCCTGTGTCGGTCGCGCGAATCCGAGAGAAGGCCAAGGAGAAGGAGAAAGCCAGGTCCGTGTCGGCGGAGGCGTCGACGGCGAGGTCAACAGCTACCGCCTCACCTTCCATACCGCCGACTTCACTGGCGGTTTTGTCCATCCCGACGTCGCCTGCGCCGCCAACGACGACTCCCGTCATCCTGCGGCCGGAGCTTCCTCCTGAGCCCCCAGACCAGACGTTGTCATCAGCCGGATTCGCTGCCGACGTTGAAGACAAGACTACCGACGCAATGGATGTCGACTATGCGCCCGACTCGTCGCCGAAGGCACTCCCAATTGTCTCAGCGCCGGCTCCACCAACTCCTCCCGCCGTGTCTTGCAATGCGGTCCCAACGTCTACCGCTCCCTCTCCATCTCCAGTTGCATCTCCTGTTGTGCCACCATCCATCCTGCTATCTCCTCCGGTGCCTACAGCGCGCAGTCCGTCGCCACCGCCGACGCTTTCCCAACCCTCGGAAGCGCACAAGGTGTCCCGTCCGGAGTCGGAATCCGAACCCGTAGCGGCCGAGCCCGCAGTGCCCGTACAAGATGTCATGGAGGTTGACGACCATGAAGCCGATATCCGCCAGTCATCTCCCGCTGTCCAGCCTGCGGTAGATACGGCATCCGTTTGCGTGGTCGGTCCCTCGGAGTCGGAAGCTATGTCGGAGATCGTCGTCGACCGTCCACCAGCTCCTCCATCCGAGCCGCTAGCTGAGCTAGCGCGCGAATGTGAGCCCGAGCAGCCCAAGGAACCTCCTCCCACGAAGGTCAAGCTTTCGCTCAAGGACTTTGCGCTGCGCAAGAAGAAACAGCGCGAGGAACAGAAGGAGCGAGAGAAGGAGGAGCAGGAGAAAGTCGCTACGGAGTCGCCTCGCATCCCGATGACTCGCCCAGATCCAGACTCGGAGTCCCCTGCAGCTGCTGCAGCACCAGAATCGAACGTCTCTGGCTCAGACGCGAGCATGAAGGCGCGTACAGACGATGAACATGCAGACGTGAAGACGACGGAGCAAGTGAAGGTTCCTGAGGTCGAGCTCGCGGAGAATGAGAGGTCGCTACAGGAACCGCTGAGCAGGGACGGTCTCAAACATGTGAACGGCACAACATCTGACTCCATGGGCGTGGACATGGATCGATCAGGCGAGGAGCGCCGCCCGCTGTCTCCTGTTGCCCAAGACGTGAAGTCGGATGCCTTGCCCAACGGTCACACGACGCAAGCTTCATCTCGGCGGTCGCCGACACCCGAGCGGTATCTCAATGGTCACAAGAGGGCCAGCTCACCTATCAGTGATGGGAGGCGTCGCTCTCCCAGCGAGGACTTGGATTGGAGACGTCGCAGTGCGGGTCGCCGTACACCGAGCGAAGAGTTCGAAGATCGTCGTGACCATCGGAGGACAGATTCTCTCCAGGCTAAAGTCGAGTTGCTCGATAACCATATACTGAACGGCTTCGCTGCGCCCGCGCGCGACCTTTCCCCTGTCGATTCCTATCTGGTCCAGGACAGCGACCATCAGCACACTGTGAGCCCCGGCACTCCTCCCCGTACAACCTCTCCCAAGCTGTCGTACTCGCCTCCCCGGAATCCCCTTTCTCGTCCGCCTCAGACTCAACCGCCGTCCCAGGAAGACGGTGAGATCTTCAGCCCTCCCCCGCCCAAGGCTCCACCGCTTGCCCCCCGTTCGCACACGCCACCAACACATCCGCGCTCGTTCTATACTGCACGCGGGGACACCTCGCCGACGCGCCGGTCCCCGCCACTCTCTGCACGTCGGCCTCTACATCCCACGCAGTACCCTCGTAACTCAGGCCCACCCCGTCTCGCCCCGAGTGCCCCTCGAGCGTTGCGAGAGAGCGGGGCCTATCCACCTTTGTCTATGTATGCCGGGCAGAACGCGCCCTACTTCGCACCTCGGGGTCCGTCTGCAGATCGTGATCGTGAACGAGACCGGGCGCGAGATTGGGGACGAGATAGGGGCGACAGTGACAGATCATGGATCCCGGGGCCGTCGAGAGGTCGAGGTCGAGGGACGTGGGGTAGGTAGGGTTAGCAGATGTATTCATCAATATGAAGGGCAGCATTCGCAATGTGCGATGTCTTTTTTGTAATGTAGCATACGAAGTTGCGCTTACAGTACGGACTGTGTTTTTGTCTACGTTTTACTTTGTGCTTCGGTCTATCCCCCTCTTACACTGCTCTGAATGCGTTTGACTCCTCATGTTCAGTTCGTGCTGCGTTGTCCGACCATTGTTTCGCTGTTCTCGTGTTTATTGAGTATGGTATTGCAGAGCAGTCTCCCATGAGTCGTAGATAATTCATCGTCTGTAGTCCACAACTTGTAACTCAAGCTACGTACTAATATAATATACGCCGCCTGTATCCTGAGCCGCAGCCATATGACATGATAATCGGGCGATTGAACGAGGCTCCTAGTCTTGATCAAACGCCACCGTTGTCCTCCCTGACTATGGCTCATGCAACTTTCCCCGGGGAGTCCTCGGATTCTTCTCCCTACCCTCCGCGTTCAGAACGTTACCCAGACTCCCTATCCTCCCCTGACTTCGAATCCTTTTTCGCTCCCACTGATTCAGAGCTTGATGTTCGCCGTGATATCGCACTCCTTTCTGGACTATGTCAATAATACATGTCATCCTGCATCCATCGGGCACCATAACACGTCACCTTGCTGCACAACCATGTAAAGGAGCTGCTTATGACTCAAGCTTTGACAGGCATCAACGAAGAGCATATACCAGGCTCGCTAATCAATCAAGATACAGCTATGAAGTGGATATACATAAATTACAGCCATCGCCATCCGAGCAGTATAACGCCAACACCCACAGCATCGCCCACCTGCAGTCTAAACCCGAGACGCCAATCCACTAATTGACCATCTCGAACACTCAGCGGACAAGCTTAAAGTACAGAATGACGAGTATAAGGAGGACGAGGATGAGGATGATGGCGGCGGTTACGACGCGCTGCTGGTACATTCTATATGCATATGCGCGCGAGACGCAGCCGCCGCACAAGCGAAACATTCAAGCGTAGCGTCAGCGTTAGATCCATCTAAACGACACGGGTGAACCTGGCAGCGGGGCCACCGGGTGAGAGGAGTACGTACCGTCGGATCATCTTCTTGAGCGTGCCAGACGCGCGATCAATAGATGTATCTGCCCGTTGGAGCTTTACACGCGATGCGACCGCGGGATGGGTCGGTTAGCCGAAGCCATGGTACAACTAATGAGAAAAACGGATACACACCGTATCGCGCGCGTTCTGAATCTGCTCCCTCTGCCCACGCAAACTCCTGAGGATGTCCGCGCCCTGCTCCTCCGTCTCGAGAGCGATCCTCTGGCTCTCCAACAGCCGCCTGCTCCCGTCCTCCAGCAGTTCGGCCCCTGCAAGTAGCCGTGTGCGATCACTCGTCGCGCCGTACGGCTCGTCCGACGTGGGCGTGCCGGGCAAGCCGGGACGGGCGAGAAGTTCAGCACGGGAGAGTTGGGCATGAAAGTCCTTAGAGAGTTTCTTGTAGCGAGTGAGGTCGGCTTTGGAGGCCTTGATGCGGGATTGGTAAGAGGGCCGGAGGGATTGGGGGATGCCTTGGATTTCTATTTCCATTTGGGAGACCTGGACAAGGAACGCGTCAGTGAATTCATATGGTAGCCATGATGGCCACATCCAGTAGACAGAGCGAATATCTGAAGAGGGGAGGGTGAGAAGAATGGAAACGGGCGGCGTCGAACCGAGGATAACGCGTGCATAAGGTGTACCATTCAGCGCAAAGCGGCGTACAGATACGAATGACCAGACTTGTAAAACATCCTACATACGTCGGTTCGCATCTTTTCGACACGGCCGACAGCAGAAGTCTCCTTATTTCTTCATGGCCCCCTTGGGCGGAGCAGGCCCAGCACTCTTTCCTTTCCTCACTCCAGGCGGCGAACAACAACGCAGAGCCAGTATGGAGCACGTACCATCTCGTCGGCCTCGTCTAGCTCCATCTCGACTCTGCGAAGGGCAGCCTTGCGCTGCTCGCCCTGGCCAACATCCTTAGCATCACCCTCGAGCTTGTCACGGATGCTGTGGATGATCTGCTTGAAGTCAGACTCGTATGAGTCAAAAAGGGCGGTGGGGGAGTTGTCCATCGTGTCTTGTCGTCCTGCGAGCCCGAGACGAGGATTGGGAAGAGAAGGAGGAGCGGGGAAGACGCGTACGTCGGCGCAGCACTGGCAGCGAAGGCCACGGCTACAAACGACGCCCCGGACCGCACCGTGCCGGGAAAGTACGGGCACTGATTTGGCATGGTTGCCTAATTCGGATCGAGCATCTGAGGCGAGATCAATCTTGAGGACGCTGAGTGCGCGCAGAGTCAAGTCGTCGAACGAGAGATCCGGGCGTGCACGCTATGGCACTAGTTCTGCAGGAACGTCTCCAGACCGCCTCGGCCGACTTTCAGAAGATACAAAACGACCTCTCGCTCGCAGTCGATGCCCGCCAGAAACTCGAGGCCCAGCTCTCCGAGAACGAGCTCGTCAAGAAGGTGCGCCCTTGATACTTGCCTGTCTCCTCTGGGACTCAGACGTCGGATGCTGCTTTCACAGGAGTTCGCATCGCTGACTGAGGAGAACACCGTCTACAAACTTGTCGGGCCCGTGCTCATCAAGCAGGACCAGACTGAAGCAAAACAGAACGTCGATACGCGCTTGGGGTTCATCCGCGGTGAGATGTACGTCGTGTTGCCCCCTCTAGGACCATTCGCAGTATTGATACGAATGCGACTACACAGCAAGCGAGTGGAGGGGCAGTTGGAGGACTTGGGCGAAAAGTCAGAGAAGAAGAAATTGGAGGTACGTCCCGTCGTCCCGTTTCCTTTCACGCAATCTCCCAGCTAAACGTCCGCATTTCCCAGCTCGTCGAGATCCAGGCCGCCCTCCAACAACAGCCAACCACTGCAACATGATACAGCGCCGCCATCCCCCTCTCTGCCCCTTCCCTATCCTGCGTCCTCCCTGCCCGTTGTCGTTTACCGCATAGCGAATATTAAGTCAATCGTACGAAATCCGGAACCCAACGTGATATACCGTGTGTATTATGCTGTGGCAGTAGCATTGGGTTCCGTTTGTAACCGCACCGCAGCCTCAGCCGCCTGGCGGGCGTGAAGCTCCTCGCGTGCGCGCTCGGGCGACTTGAGCACTTTCTCAAGCGTGAACCGTTTCCGGGCAGAGATAGGAGGGCAATTGCGGATGAGGACGGTGTCGTTTAATCGGAGCTCTAGGAGCACATGGATGCGGTTGGTTTTGAGAGAATGAAAAAGGGAAGTGAGGGAGACGTACGGCTTGTCTCGTCATGCGTAAGGTACTTCTTGCTCCGTTCCAGTCGCTGTAATGATTCAAAAGCGGTAAGCGATGGCTCTCAGTGCATTGCGCTCCCGAGTGGTAAACGGAAGAGCGACATACCTTGCCAGTCTTTGCGTGTGTGATGAAACGGGAAACGGTGACAGTCGCGGTCTTGCTCATGTACCCGACCTTCGTCACCAGGCCAATGAACGACATGGGCGGCATTTCGGATATCGGATAAACGAAGGGAAGCAAGCAGGAAAGTGTAGACGCAAACAAGGAGGCTGGAAAGCAGGGGAGAGCAGGACGAGAGAGACGGAGAACACAAGCGTGGACGAGTGCCCCCTCAGCAGGCGGAGTCGACTGCTCTTCGCACGTGACGCCTCTTGACCGCTGGAAGAGCTCAGCGAGGAGACGGAGTCGCAGAAAGCCGTTCGAATCGTTCTGCGTTTGTTCTCCCCATACCAGATCCCTGCCCATTGGTCGTGGCGATGGCGAAAAGCCAATATTGCATGCTACTGGAATTTCATCACGTTGCCTATAGCAAGGGGGTTACGCCTCCACTGTTGCAAATCGGCCGCAGTAAGACGAAGCGTTAACTATGAAGCTTCGCGTTCACAAGGAGATTGCAGTAAACATGATTATGACCGCATCCTTCCTACAGCACCGGAGACTCGGCTAGAAACTCCAAAGGACACCGAAGGGCACGCGATGGGTAGTCGCTGAGTTACTGTAAGCTAGCGCTCTGTCTGATCACAATATGTAAGTCACAATCGCGTCAGGCCGCTGCCGCTAAGCACTATGGATGCGCGTCGGGTCCCGCAATCTCATGGTCGCAGGCTAGCTCGACAGACTCGTCTGGAAACTTCGTTTGGCACTCGGAGAACATACGGTAAAGCGCTCCTCGACCAGTCCGTCCGTTCTATGGCTGATGAGCAGGGGCGTGAAAAGATAAAGCTATTCTTCTGAGCAGATACTCGCAGCTGTGTTGCAGGTGTTGCAGGTCGTTGGAGAGGATTTAGCGGTTCGGGAGCCCGACCAAGTCCGAGGCAGAACAACCGCGAAAAGCGCACACGTGGCGAGCGATGACGTCTGTTGTGCGACTGTTGCGGTGAGCGTGCGCTCAGTATATATTCCCTCTGACCTCCTCCTCGACGCCTCGTTCGCCTTGATCAGTGTTCACCATGTCCGTGCTCACCACCATCGCTCGCTCTGCTGTCCGTGCTGGCCGTCCTGTCGCGCGTATTCCAACCGCGTCGCTCTCTCTCGCCGCCCGCGGCGTGCACACCCTTCCACAGCTCGACTATCCGTATAATGTGCGTGCCCGTCTTCCTATCATCAACACCCTCCGGTCGTCCTGATCGATATCCCGCGCACAGGCTCTCGAGCCGCACATTTCGGGTCAGATCATGGAGCTTCACCACAAGAAGCACCATCAGACCTACGTCAACGGCCTTAATGCCGCCGAGGAGGCCTATGCTAAGACCGACTCTCCCAAGGAGCGCATCAAGCTCCAGTCTGCCCTCAAATTCAACGGCGGCGGTCACATCAACCACTCTCTCTTCTGGAAGAATCTCGCCCCTCAGAGTCAGGGCGGTGGTGAGCTCCCTGCGGGAGCCCTCAAGGAGAAGATTGAGGCTGACTTCGGGAGTGTCGATGGTGAGTGCTCAATTTCCGCTCGTTACTCTTGCCTCCTCGTTTCCTTCTGTGAGACCGCTCGCAAGTGCATAACATTCGCTTGGTAGTCATCGCTGGTGGTGCAGGCAGGCCGTGTACCGGTCGTACCCGGCTATAAGCCCGTACTTCCAAGCCGCACCAGAAGTTCGTCATCATGCTACGCTCCCGTAGAGCGAATGCCGTAGGGCCCCTTGATAGCGATACGCGGCATCCGTCCTTTCTCTCCCTCCACCCTTCCAATGGCGTATCGTGCACGCAGCAGTAAACTGATTGCTTGCTGCAGCGTTCAAGAAGAAATTTAATACTGTTACCGCCGCCATTCAGGGCTCCGGCTGGGGCTGGCTCGGCTACAACCCCGAGACCAAGAAGCTCGAGATCGTCACCACCCCCAACCAGGACCCTCTCCTCTCCCACGTCCCCATCATCGGCGTCGACATTTGGGAGCACGCCTTCTACCTCCAGTACCACAACGTTAAGGCTGACGTGAGTAGTCTTTGGTCGTCCTTGAGACAGCGCGGAAGCTGATGTGCCGGATTATCGAAATGCGCAGTACTTGACTGCGATATGGAACGTCATTAACTTCAAGGAGGCCGAGCGCCGTTTCCTTGAAGCGAGCAAGTAGGCTCGCGGGCGCCGGCTACACTCCGGAGCTGGTGGAAAAGCTTCGCCAAGGTAGACGACGGACTTGGCTGTACAGTACGAGTTTCTTTGTTAGAACAAGGCGCTATCGGATACTCGTTTCCTATCATCGGCTGGAATTTTCCGACCGACAACGTATCCCTCGTAGATCCGAGGCAAAGAAGTCCATCGACAGCTCAGCTCGAGGCACCTCTTAGTGGGAGCTCTTTGCCTGAATATAAGGGACCTTGGGGCGGTGTCTCTCTTCGGTTCCGTGAAGGCCTACAGGCACATGCGCCGTTTGCCGCGCACATTCCGTCCAAGTTCGATAATTCTATGATTTTTGCGGCGGATCTGATAGCAAGCTTCGACTGGTTGCGAGCAATGCCCCCGGGGGCTTTCATGAGCTCGCAGTATTCATATATGCGATGTTGACTGGATTATCTGCGGCCGCTTTCGCTGTCGTCAGGTCAGGTCACTCGAGTATACATTTACTCTCTCTTGAGCCCCGAAACACATCTCCTCGATATAGTGTCCACTCTGCACCGTCACCCTAGAGCTTAAGGTTGTGAAGAGCAGTACGCGATCATTAGTACTAGTAGTTTCGGGCGGTCATCTTGTCCTGCACCCCGGGCTCGCTCGAATCCGAGGAGATGACGTTGTTCACAGGCGCTAGAGTTGCCTAATCGGTAAATCCCTCATGGCTGGCCGCTGAGAGCTCCTGAGGGCCACTGATCGCTGGACGCATTGAGAGGCAATTGATGGGGAATGATGAACTAGTCGAACGTTCTGTGTATGGCAAGCGAGCAACCTTGGTCTTCGCGTTCCTCTCCCTCCCGATGACGAGACAATTGGACGACTTCGGCGAAAGGCTCCTAGTCGTGGGCGGCTAACGACTTGATCTCAAACCACCGTCGTCCTCGCTGTCCATGGCTCATACAACTTCCCCTTCACACTCCAGGGAGCCCTCGGGTTCTTCTCCCTCCCCCCTGAGCTCAGAACCTTCTTCAGTGTCCCCATCCTCCCCTGACTTTGAATCTTTCTTCTCTGCCGCTGATTCTGAGCTTGATGTTCGCCACGATATCGCGCTCCTCTCATACCTCCTTAGCCATACTAAGGTCAAAGATCGGAAGTCAGCCGCCAACGCCAAGGCTCTTGCGGCTTTGGATCCTTGGACTTACTTGGCATTCATCATCAACACCGGGGAAGCACCCTACGACAGGGCTGGTAATAAGGTCATCGCGGTCACCGGCCGAATCGATCGCGACACGATCACTGCGGCGCTGGTCGCTCGCAATACATCTCCCCATCGTCTCCCACCGGACACGCCGTCACTCCAGATCAAATCGCTGAAGCCCGTGAACCCTAAAGACGGAGCGTCCATGCTGAGGGAAGCTATTCGGAACCCCGAGTACGTCTTCATGAAGCGTGTAGCTTACACTGCGACTAAGTAGGACTACAGACGTCCTTCTATGGAGTGCCATATCCGCGATGTTATCACCGCTCTCAACCACTTCGTCCATTCTCCTCCCGCGTCCTCGGCCGAAGAGTCCAACCACAAGCGGGTGCAGACCATGCAGTTCTTTTTCTTCATCGCGAAACGCTGCTGCCTCAAACTTCGCGCTCGTATTGCGAATGGTAGGCGCATGTGGTCTGCGCATCCCACATCCCTTATACGCGAGTGGTACGCGTCGGATCGCAGCCGATCTCCCCATCCTCAGACACTCGCACTGCCCGCCTTCTTGGAGCAGACCTTAGAGAAGGATTACCAGCTTTCGCCAGCGATGGAGCGCCGTCGGTTATCGGGTGACCGGATTCTGTATATCGTTGAACCGGAGAACGTATTGCGATGGGCCGAGATGTTGGTCCAGTGCCAGGACAACATGGACAAGTTGTTCGCGTCTCTTTCGCAGAGTAGCCCTGAGGCTCAGTCCCTCGCTTATGCTGCGTATATATCGGCGGCAATCCTCGATGCGGTCTTTCAGAATGGCCTCCTCGAGGTCCTTCTCACGGATGGTCTTGCACGGCATATGCAGGAGAAATATATGGAGACTGTCGGGGAGCTGCGGCCGCCGATGCTGAACAGTTAGGTCCGCGCTTTCAATGATCTTCGACTGTACTAACAACTCGACACAGGCCTTTTTATGTCACTTGGCGCAATTCGCAAAGGGGTTGTACCCGAAGAGATCGATACAGCGGCAGTAGAAGACCCAGAAGTAGCCGATCCCGATGACAGCGAAGGCATGTCACTTTTTATCTTTTACGAGAACTGACTCTTATGTTTTTTTCACAGACGAGCTGATGGCCTTCGAGAACAACAAGGAACACGTCATTCGCTATCTGAAGACTCTGGCGATTCCCTTTGCCGCTGCTAGTTTCCTGGTCCACTACTGCCACAAGCTCTCACCGTTGTCGCTTGACCTAGATGTTTATGTGGTCTACGCTTCGTCCTCCACCCCCGCTGTCACCCAGAGACACATCCGAGAGTTTAAGGATGGGTTTCTACAGCATTTTATGTTCCCAGATGAAGTGAAGGAGGAGATTGACCAAGCTCTTTCATCCCTGAAGTTCCATTACATCGGCTCTTTGCATGCGGAGGCTATCGTCATGGCGCTAGCATGCTCTGTCCACAATGGAGTCCGAGCAGAAGGAGCTGAACTCCAGCAGCAGCTGTCTTATCTCACACCCGTTTTTGAGGTTAGTGTAATCTTCGCTGAATGTTAGTCCTGATATCAGTTCTGGTACTCAAGGTTAACAGGTGCCTTCAATCCCGATCGGAGTCAGCAAGAAGTGTTGCTTCTGCTGTGATCTCCTTGCATCTCTCCTCACGCGCTCACAGAGTGGCGGAAGACTTAGCTTTCTTCTTCAGGGTACACACTCTACTATTTTTCCCTGGATCCCCCCTGATGGTATTCCCCTTGAAGTGCTGAAGGAGATGAGGATTCAGCTTTTGAAAATTTTTCATAGCTCTATCACTACGTATGTGAAGTCAGTGCCGTCTCTTCAAACATCACCAGCACAGTCTGTGCGTGAGCTGTTCCCCCTCGCCTCACCTTCGGATGTAGACAGGTTGTTTTCATAGTGGTGAAAAGTAGTAGCAATGATCCTAGCCTTTGTACTGGAGAATGGACTATGTCAATGATACGTGTCATCTTGCATCCATCGGGCATCGTAACACGTTGCCTTACTGCACAACCATGCAAAGGAGATGCTCATGACTCGAGCTTTGGCAGGCATTGACGAAGAGCATACACCAGGCTCGCTAATCAATCAAGATACAGCTATGAAGTCAGGCAAGGATATACATAATTTACAGCCATCGCCATCCGAGCAGTATGACGCCAACACCCACAGCATCGCCCACTAGGCTATCCGCAGTCTAAACCCGAGATGCCAATCCATTAATTGACCATATCGAACACTCAGCAGACAAGCTTGGAGAACAGGATGACGAGTATAAGGAGGACGATGACAACGATGATGGCGGCGGTGACGACGCGCTGCTGGTACATCCTAAATTATATGCGTACGAGACGCAGCGCCCGAGCGAGACACAAACGAAACATTCAAGCGTATCGTCAGCGTTAGATCCATCTATACGACACGGGTGAACCTGGGGGTGAAAGTACGTACCGTCGGATCATCTTGAGCGTACCCGACGCGCGGTCAATAGAGGTATCTGCCCGCTGGAGCTGCACACGCAACGCGACGGCGGAATATGTCAGTCAGACGTAGCCCTAGTACGACAGATGAGGACAGTGGGATACACCGTATCGCGCGCGCGTTCTGAATCTGCTGACTTGGCCCACGCAAACTCCTGAGGATGTCCGCGCCCTGCTCCTCCGTCCCGAGAGCGATCCTCTGGCTCTCCAACAGCCGCCTGCTCCCGTCCTCCAGCAGTTCGGTCCCCGCAAGTAGCCGTGTGCGGTCACTCGTCGCGCCGTACGGCTCGTCCGACGTGGGCGTGCCGGGCAAGTCGGGTCGGGCGAGGAGTCCGGCGCGGGAGAGTTGGGCGTGAAGGTCCTTGGAGAGCTTCTTGTAGCGAGTGAGGTCGGCTTTGGAGGCCTTAATGCGGGATTGGTACGAGGGGCGGAGGGACTGGGGGATGCCTTGGATTTATATCTCCATTTGGGAGACCTAGACAAGTGATGCGTTAGCACATTCATATGGTATCCATGACGGCCACATTTGATAGACAGAGCGAATAGCCCGAGAGGGAAGAGCGAGAAAAAAGGTGACGCGAAACACGCCTGCAAAATGCGTACCGTCCAGCGCAAAGCGGTGCACGGATACGGATGACCAGGCTTGTGAGATATCCCACAGACGTCTGAACGCACCTTCTGTTACGACACCGACGACCGCAGATGTCTCATTATTTCTTCATGGCACCCTTGGGCGAAGCAGGCCCAGTACTCTTCCCTTTCCTCACTCCAGATGGCAAACAGCAACGCAGAGCTAGTGTGGGACACTTACCATCTCGTCTGCCTCGTCGAGCTCCAACTCGACTCTGCGAAGGGCAGCCTTGCGCTGCTCACTCTGGCCAGCATCCTTAGCATCACCCTCGAGCTTGTCGCGGATGCTGTGGATGATCTGCTTGAAGTCAGACTCGTATGAGTTGAGGAGGGCGGTGGGGGAGTTGTCCATCGTGTCTTGTCGTCCTGCGAGCCCGAGACGAGTATCGGAAAGAGAAGGAGGAGGGAGGGAGTGGGAAGGACGTCGCGGCGCAGGCCACGGCTACAACGACGCCCCGCACCGTGCTTGTTTGGCGCAGTTGCCTGGTTGGGATAAAACAGGAGCCGGGTCATTCGCATTGGCAAATTTGTCGATCGGGGCCATCTCGCGCAGACGGTACTCATCTTACCCATTTGAAGTCATCTGGAAGAGGATGTAAGTCGGGGGCCTCACGCAGCCGGATAGATGGATGCGGTGGGGCGAGGCGGTGATGAGTATCTGGGGGTTGAGGGGATGGAGGGGGTTCTATGTTGGCTTGACCATTATCCAGGATACCTGAAGGTCGTATCGATGACTGCAGTTAGCTTCGCGGTATGGCAATGGGAGAGGCGGTGTGAGCGGGGTTGTACTCATCTCCCAGGAACTCCCTCTCTTCCCGTCCGCCTCAAACTCGACCGCCCTCCACCGCCCTCGGCTCCGCCACTTGCTCCCCACCCGCACACGCCGCCGACACATCCGCGCTCGTTCTATACTGCGCGCGGGGACATCTCGCCAAGCCGCCGATCTCCGCGATCCTCTGCACGTCGGCCGCTACATCCCTCGCAGTATCCTCGTAAGTTAGGTCCTCCCCGTCTCGCCCCAAGCGCGCCTCGAGCGTTGCGGGAGAGCGGTGGCTACGCACCCCTTCCGATGTGTGCTGGCGGCGGGCAGAACGTATAGCAATGTAACTCAGCACGCGTTATACGCGGGACTTGTATATTGTAATACCTATAGCAATGTAACTACAGCGTATTAATCAGTATGAGTACGTAGAATAAGTAACAAGCATATGCTCACCTCAGCACGCGTTATACGCGGGACTGAGGTGAGCCAACGTGAATCGAAAGAGTTAAGTACACATTTGTAACAAGACGTCCATACTACAAGATGAGTGAGACGTGGCATTCGTAAACAAAACGGGGTGAATCCGCCAAGGCGGGACAAGGCGGGACAAGGCGCGTCAACGGCGCGACAAGACTTGTCCGCCCGAAACACGGCCGAGGCTCGCACCACGCTTGCCTCGCCGTACGCACTCCAACACTCCCCCTCAAGCAGGTGCGAGACCAAGGGCGGCAGCAAAATGTTTGACCTTGACGGAGGGGAGCGCCTTCGTCAGGATGTCAGCCGTTTGATCGTCGGTAGGGCAGTAGATAAGTCGAATGTCGCCGGCGTCGATGGTGAAACGAATGAAATGAT